CATATATGTACTCTAACAAGGAAATACTAAATTAGGAATCGACATTATAGTTTCATTTCCCAGATTTAAAGGAAAGTGATAGAGATACTTTTATGTCCTAATTCAACGAGCTTAATTTGGATACCTCTGAGGGGAAAAAAAAACTCCAACGGGACATGAAATCTGGTAGGAATCGGGGATCCTTATATCACAGGTTCGAATCATTTGCGGGACTTTTAGACTGATCCTTCGGATGAGACCATATAAACCGAAGTCCCTTGCCACAGTAGTTGTTTGTAACTAAAAGATTTCTCACTGTTCAATAACCAAGAGTGTGGAGTATAGGTGGAAATTTACAGGCCTCTACCGGCAAGTGGTTAATATTTATACCCCCCGCTTGAAAAGCGGGAGGGTATATAGTAATCGTTAATTCCGTCCGTCCGTCTGTTACGCTTTGGGGTGCCCATCTCTTATCCACAACTCCTCTCATACCACTGAATAAAATCTGATGAAACTTTCACAGAATCTTTATTACATATTGCCATTGTGCACCTCCTATTTTACTTTTTGATCCGACACATATTTTGGGTTTCACGGCCACACCAGAACATGGACTTTGCCATTATAACTATATGTAGGCGGGGGGTATCATTTAGTGAGCTCATCGCTCACAGTACCTCTAGTTTTAAAACATGTCCTTCCTATATATTACTTTGTAAAAATTTGACCCTCCATTGCGGCCCCTCCCTATCCCAAGGGTTAGTGACTTGAGTAAATTTAAATCTTCACTTATTGCAATTAATTTTTAGCTCTACTGATCAGAGACAAGAAGAGCTTATGCGAGAGTAATGCGTCCGTCGTCCGTCCGTCTGTCTGTCTGTCCGTCTCTGTCTGTCTGTAAACTATTTTTCAAAATGCTACTCCTCCTACAGTTTTGGTCCAAGTTCAATATAACTTGGCACACAAGAAGACTATTCGAAGATACTTACCGGTAATTCTGTGCATCGGTTTTTCATTTCGATGAACGGTGTTGCCGTTGTTACTAAAAATAGAAATTTTTTGCTTTCAAAATGCTACTTCTCCTACAGTTTTTGTCCGATTTCCATATAACTTACCACACAAGTAGACTATACTAAGGTACATAATTCTGTGCATCAGTTCTTGATTTCGATGAACGGTGTTGCCGTTGTTACTAAAAATAGACATTTCTGTGAAATGCTTTCAAAATGCTTCTCCTCCTTCAGTTTTGGTCTGATTTCAATATAACTTGGCACACAAGAAGACTATTCTAAGATACATAATTCTTTGCATCGGATTTCATTTCGATGAATAGTGTTGCCGTTGTTACTAAAAATAGAAATTTCTGTGAAATGCTTTCAAAATGCTACTTCTCCTACAGTTTTTATCCGATTTAAATATAACTTAGCATATAAGTAGACTATACTAAGATGGGCAGCCCCCAGCCAATAAGGTGTCGGTCCGCCAACGTCTGTTGCTCCAGAGGGTGCCTGGAGCTAAATGTTAGCCAAACATGGAAAGCAGACGGAAACCTAGTAACCCAACAGATACAGCAAAACGAAATTGTCCATCTTGCGACTGGCAAGCTGGAATGTCAGGACAATGTGTCCTGGCCTATCTGAAGATCTCCAACAGATTGATGACTCCAGGAAAACGGCCATTATCAACCGAGAGCTGAGAAGGCTTAACATTGACATTGCTGCCTTACAGGAAACCAGACTCCCATCAAACGGAAGCCTAAGAGAGGAGGATTATACATTCTTCTGGCAAGGAAACGAACCAGAGGAATCACGTATACACGGTGTAGGATTCGCAGTGAGAAACTCTCTACTTTCATCAGTGGAACCGCCTCAAAAGGGTACACCCAGAATCCTGTCTCTTCGCCTCTCCACCTCCTCCGGGCATGTCAACATTCTGAGCATCTATGCTCCCACACTCAGCTCCACAGTGGAGACAAAGGATACGTTCTACGAGGCGCTTGAGACTATCATCAGAGAGATCCCAACCACAGAACAAGTATATCTGCTTGGGGATTTTAATGCAAGAGTGGGAACTGACCAAGAAGCTTGGCCTGGCAACATCGGCCACTTTGGCGTTGGGAAACTAAATGATAACGGTCAGCGACTTCTTGAGATATGCTCTTACCACGACCTGTGCATAACCAACACATTCTTTGCCACAAAGCCCCAACACAGAGTCTCATGGCGTCATCCTAGATCAAACCATTGGCACCAACTGGACCTTGTGATCACCAGAAGACGCTCACTGAACTGTGTCCTGACAACCCGCAGCTACCACAGTGCGGACTGCGATACCGACCACTAACTTGTTGGCAGTAAGGTGCAACTCCAGCCCAAAAGGATTCATCGCTCCAAACAGAAAGGACGTCCACGAATTAACACAGCAAGGACAGCAATGCCAGATGTTTGTGCACGCTTTGTTGACTCTATTGAAGAGGCCCTTCGTAACTGCCCCACCAGCAGTGCTGATGAGAGGTGGAACTACATTCGTGACGCCATTTACACTTCAGCGATGGACACTTTTGGCAAAAGAGCGAGACAAAATCCAGACTGGTTTGAAGCAGGAATTACAGAACTCGAACCAGCAATCACAGCCACAAGAATCGCCCTGCTCAACTACAAACGTGGACCTTCAGAGAAGACACTTGCTGAACTCAGAAAGGCCAGAAATGACGCCCAACGGATAGCTCGACGCAGCGCAAACGACTACTGGCTGAATCTCTGTAAAGGTATCCAGCACTCTGCTGACTGTGGTAACATTCGCGCCATGTACGAAGGTATGAAGAAAGTTTTTGGTCCGAGCATCATCAAGACAGCGCCGCTGAAAACAGTCTCTGGTGACATCATCACTGATAGAGGAAAGCAGATGGAGAGATGGGCCGAACACTATCAAGAGCTCTACTCAAGAGAAAATGTTGTCAGTGTCACAGCTGTTGAGAACACCAATGTCCTACCAGCTATGGAGGAACTTGATGCTCCACCTTCGATAGATGAACTCAGTAAAGCCATCAACTCCCTAGCCAGTGGGAAAGCCCCAGGTAGCGATGGTATTCCCCCAGAGGTCATCAAAGCGGGCAAGAGTTCCACTCTGTTACATCACCTGCACAAACTGTTACTCAAGTGCTGGGAAGAAGGAACAATTCCACAAGACATGCGCAACGCTAGCATCATAACGCTCTACAAGAACAAAGGAGACCGCAGCGATTGCAACAACTATTGTGGAATATCCCTACTCAGCATTGTTGGGAAGGCATTCGCCCGAGTAGTGCTTAATCGATTGCAGAACCTAGCAGAGCGAGTCTACCCGGTGGCGCAGTGCGGTTTCAGAGCAGAAAGGTGAACCATCGACATGGTTTTCTCATTACGCCAATTACAAGAAAAGTGTCGAGAACAGAGACGCCCATTGTACATTGCCTTTATTGACCTAACCAAGGCATTTGACCTGGTCAGTAGGCAAGGTCTCTTTACCCTGCTACAGTGGATTGGATGCCCTCCAAAGCTCCTGAGGATAATCTCGTCTTTTCATGACGACATGCAAGGCACCGTCCAGTATGATGGTTCATCCTCAGATCCCTTCCCCATCAAAAGCGGCGTAAAATAAGGATGCGTACTAGCCCCAACGCTTTTTGGCATATTCTTTTCCCTGCTGCTGTCATACGCATTTGATCAATCAGAAGACGGCGTGTATCTTCACACCAGAAGTGACGGAAGCCTCTTCAACCTTGCGCGTCTCCGAGCAAAAACCAAAGTACGCAAGGTCCTGATCAGAGAGATGCTCATTGCTGATGATGCCGCCTTGACTGCACACACAGAGCAGGCACTACAACGACTCATCGACCGCTTTTCCAATGCATGCGATGAGTTTGCTCTCACCATCAGCATCAAAAAGACCAACATTATGGGCCAGGACGTCTGCTGCACTCCCAAAATCTCCATCGACGAACATGTCCTTGAAGTTGCGGATTCATTCACCTACCTTGGGTCCACCATATCAAGTAACCTGTCCTTGGATACAGAGCTAAATAAGCGCATTGGGAAAGCAGCATCAGTAATGGCTCGGCTGGGAAAACGAGTATGGGACAACGCCATGCTGACAACAAACACCAGGATAGTGGTATACAAGGCGTGCGTACTCAGCACGCTCCTGTACGGCAGCGAAGCCTGGACCCTGTACTCTCGCCAAGAGCGTCGACTCAACACCTTCCACATTGCCTCAGAAGAATTTTAGGCATCAGCTGGAAGGATCATGTCACCAACAAGGACGTATTGAGACAGTCAGGGTTACCCAGTTTGTTCGCCTTGCTAAGCCAGAGGCGATTGAGATGGCTTGGCCATGTAAGCCGCATAGACAACGGCCGTATACCGAAGGACGTGCTGTACGGAGAGCTGGCAACTGGATCAAGACCTACAGGAAGGCCTGTTCTTCGCTACAAGGATGTCCTAAAACGTGACATGAGGGCCGGAGACATCGACCCGGCGTGTTGGGAAGCAGTGGCTGCTGATCGAAATCGATGGAGGCATGCTGTCAAGGCAGGCCTCCAACTCAGCGAAAGAGGAGGGAAGAACAGTGGGATGAGAGAAGACAGCGCAGACGACAAAGACTAGCTTCAGTCCCAGCTCAACCAAGCGAGCATCACATCTGTGCGAACTGCAACAAAGCATGCCGCTCCAGAATCGGACTTTACAGCCACAGTCGGCGCTGCCACTCAATCACAGACTGATTCTGATCTTTGGCACGATCTCCATTGTCTCTCGAGACAGAAGGATGCCAACAACTAAGATACATAATTTTTTGCATCGGTTTTTGATTTCAATGAACAGTGTCGCCAAGATCAATAAAAATAGAAATTTCTGTGAAATACATTCAAAATGCTACTCCTTCTCTAGTTTTAGTCTGATTTCAATATAACTTGGTACAGAAGTAGACTACATTAAGATACATAATTCTGTATATCAATTTTTTTTTTTAATGCAAGGTGTTGCTATAGTACTTAAAATAGAAATTTCTGTTAAATAATTTTAAAAAGCTATTACAAATACAGTTTTAGTTTGATTATAATATAAACGGGCATGCAGATAGACTATACTAAGATACACTATTGTTTTTATCGTTTTTTTAAATTTATTTTGATGAATGGTGTTGCCATGGTAACTTAAGTTGAAATTTCTTTAAAATTTTATTAAAAGCTACTCGCCTACAGTTGTAGTCTTATTGCAATATTGCCACATAAAGTGACTTAATCAAGATTCATTTTTCTGTTTACTCTATTGTAAAGTTTCAAGTCCCAATTGCTACTTTTCTCTTCTTTTGTTATAAGTATAAACCAGTAGAGCTTAGGGCTGTGTATTGGGCCAAAAATTTCGATACGATACGATACAATATTTTTTAAAGCGATATGCGATATATTGGATTCTAAAATAAGTCATTAAGAAAAGGCTTCTAAATCATTTTAATGCATGAATTTCATAACAATTGAGTGTTTTTTTTACCCATTTTAAAGTTCTTGTGTCATTGTCATTACAAATAACACTTCAAAATAAAACTTTTAATGACAGTACATGTTCAAATAACAAGAGGCCCATGGGCCTTATAGGTCACCTGAGTATCATGTAACAACTTTCCAGCGATTGTATTTGGTTCATGTTTTAAGCCAAAAGCCATGAAATTCAAAAATTTTGAAAGAGGCACCATTGCTTATCAAAAGGCAGATATCAAAGCATTAATTTATTTTTAGTCAAAGTACCCCCCTGGTACCCCTGACCCAGCAGCCCTGAAATTATCTATTTTGAAAGAGGTCGCTTTCTTCATAAGGCCAGCATTTTTTTTTTATGTTTAGGTTTAGTTATGAACATGAGAATAAAAAAGTCCCGAAGGAGAAGGGAATAAATTTTTTTTTTTGATAAATCAATTATTAACATTTGTACATTCTTTTTTTATGCTATCCTAATAGGCTCCTTACCACTGGACACATAATGCTTACAAATAGGAAAGTAGAACATTTAATTGCTTATTTCATCATCTGCCAGTTTGGGCCAGTTATATAAATTTTGTGATGTTGATCAAAATATATTTTAAAAAATCAATTCTTTAAAAGTCTTTCAATATATCTTCATTTTTTTAATGTGTTAGGTGAATGTGTAGACATTGTTCTAAAATTTACTTGATGCCTAAAATTATAATTCGTATCATAAAACAGACAGGGCGTATTGGGGAGTAGGGTCAATATTTTTTCAATTAAGTGTAAAATAATTTTTCTGGCTGATACAAATGATACTACATGCCTGTATATATTTGTATGTTCTTGCCTTTTAATAGTTGATTTTTTTTTTATTTCTTCAGGTTATTGTTTATTTCTTCCTCAAATGGACTTCACTTCTCCCATACTGGCATAGTTTTATTCATTACATCTGATGCATAAGCAACCCTTTTCTGAAGAATGATGCTTTGACTGTAAGCTATAATAGAGACCTAAACAATGTCCCTGGCAATATGCAATAGCTACCACGGGCAGTTTAAAACCTGAGGGAGGAAAATAATTTACAGTTACTTTTGAAACGAATACATAATTATCTCACCAGCATGTCATTGTGCAACAAAGTCGTCAGCATTTTATTTGTCCTTTGAACGGGTGAAACGTTTTGAATGGCACTCTTACCGATGAATTTTACACTAAACCAAGCTATCTTCTCAGATCTAGCTTTACCCGCCGTTTCATCGTAAAACCGGAAGTGCGAGTTCGTCAATTTGAAATCTCGATCCCAACTCAAATTTGACATTCGGAAAGAAAAAAATTGTTTTATTTTTTTTCTGAAAATTCAAAACCTTGAGCGGAGGGTTTGTAAAACTGAAAATAAAAAAAATCCTGGCCTTAAATATGTAATTAGATCATTAGCATATTAACCAGGAGCAAAGGATAAGATGTTCAAAGAATTTAGCATATCACTATATAATCATTAGAGCCCCACCCTAAAACAAGAACCCCTGACCCTGGGGCCATAAAATACACAAATTTGGTAGAGGCACTCTTGCTTATCATAACTATGTACTTAGTTAGTTTATTTAATACCCAGGAGCAGAGAAGAAGATTTTCAAAGAATTCGTGCATTTTCACTATATAATCAATAGAGCCCCGCCCTAACACCAGAACCCTTGACCCTGGGGCCATAAAATTTATAATTTTGGTAGAGGCACTCTTGCTCATCATAACTATGCACTTAGTTGGTTTATTTAATACCCAGGAGCAGAGAAGAAGATTTTCAAAGAAATAATGCATTTTCACTACCTACTTATTTAGCCCCGCCCTAGCACTAGAACCCCTGACCCCAGGGCCATGAATTTCACAATTTTGGTAGAGGACTCAGTGCTGATTACAATTATGCAAACAGTTTGACTGTTTGATGTCCAGGAGTAAAGAAGAAGATTTTTAAACATTGCATTAATTTTAGTGGTTTTGGCCCCACCCCTCATGCCCCAGGGGGGCAGGGATCATGAAATTCACAATTTTTGTTCCCCTTCACCCATAGATGCTTTGTCTTAAATTTGGTTGAAATTGGTTCAGCAGTTGCAGAGAAGAAGCTGAAAGTGTTCAAATGTTAACACACGACGAACGACGCACGACGACGGACGAAAACAGATAGCAATAGGTCACCTGAGTTTACTCAGGTGACCTAAAAATCTCATTGTACTTTGTAATAATTATAAATACTGTGTTGTTTCCTTTCAAATTATATAATTATTGAACATTTTAATTTTAAAAAGTGAATTATAATCTTTGGTGATTAAAATTCCCATCTTTTTAACAGAATTAGAAGAAAAACTGTCTGTCCGATACGTATTGGAAGTTATTTTTCGATACGATATTATTCTTGAATATCGATACGTATCGATATATTGACACAGCCCCCTAGTAGAGCTACAGTCTCGACAGAGACTTCTGGTTTGTTATTTGTTATTATCTCCCTTTGGAAGAAGGCGTGACCCTTCACTTGAACAAGCTTGAATCCCCTTTACCTAAAGATACTTTGTACCAAGTTTGGTTGAAATCAACCCAGTAGTTCTTGAGAATTTTTTTAAGAAGATTAAAATGTGATAAGTTGACGACGACGACAACGGTCAAATTTTGATCAGAAAAGCTCACCTGAGCCATTGGCTCAGGTGGGCGAAAAAGAAACATAAAATGATGAGAAGATTCATATGTCTGACTACGCTGTCAATGCAAATTAAGTAGATATGTGTATATTTGTCCTAATCTGTTTAACAACCATTTTGTTTTAAATATGGCATATTTCTTTCAAATGCATACTACGAGGGGAAAATCGAAACGGAGATGGAAATGATAATCAATTCGAAAAAAATTTTCCTCGTTTAATTCTATCTTTTTATACTATAAAATCCCAAAAAGTAATCAAGAGCAAATTTCTATTGCACCATCATAAAGGAGTAGACATGGACATCTTAAAACAGCAGAGTTGGGATAAGGTCCATTAAGATTGATTGTATGCTATTTTACGTCCCATCCGAGAAATATTCACTCATAAAGAGTTGTCAATATATATATCGGTAAAGGGCTTCAAATTTATACCTTTATTCGGCACATACGGACACTGAACAGTGACTGAGTCAGGGATCTTTATCGTGTCAACGCCTGCTGTAACACAGGGTCTCTGATTTTCAGGTCTCATCAGAAGGATCCGCAGCTTTCACTTCAAAGAGCCAAGCGTATGGCGAAGGAACAGATGCTACCCTTTTTTTATCGACTTCGGCCAGTCGCAGCCGAGACTCAAACTCAAGACCTTCCGAGCACGGAACGAGCGCCTTACCGAGTGAGCTACCGTAAAGGTGGTTAACCTGCTGTGTATTCTTTTTTCATGATCAGGTAAACTGAAAAATCTGTAGATAGTTCAGTCTTTTAATTACGGCCTTACAAATAGTTGAAAAAATTTGAGAAAAAGGGTTGTATTTGCTAACACGCTCATTGTATCGATGAAAAAACTTGACGTTGTTATCTTGTTTCGTTAACTATTTTGTCAATAGCTTGTCTCGTTTTAGAAATTGTTAGACTGGTATGTAGATCACTTCAACTGCATGTGATACCGGTAAGTAGATCAAGAATTTATACGAAATATTTACTGATAACCTTGTT